AGTTTTAAAAATCTGTTATTCCTCTTAAATACAGTTTGGATTTTCTCTGTGCTAATCTGCTAAATGGAATTAGGAGCATTAAAGCCTTCAAAAAATTACATGGAAAAAGCAAAGTAGCACAAAATAATAATTCAGAACAAATCCCTGATATAAATATTGATTTCTGCATATATTGATGTTTTATATGAAGAAAATGTTATTGTCTATCAAAATCTTTTATTTAAATGAAAATTTTGGTTATGAATCCACGTACATGGCTTGCTACTGCAGAAAGGCTACCAACGTCATCAAAGACCCGTCACACACCAGTAATGATCTCCTCCAACCTCTTCCGTCAGGCAGAAGATACAGAAACCTGAACACACACACGAGCAGGTTCAGGAACAGGTTCATCATCAGACTCATGAATGGACTCTGTGTCTAAGTCTTTTTGATCTGTACATTCTTTGCTTACTATGACCTACCTGTACTGCTCGTAAACAAAGCTTTTCACTGTACTTCGGTACATGTGACAATCAATCAAAACTAGTATGATTGATATGAACACTGCCCACTGAGTGCATTTATCAGTATTTTTAGTACACACTTATCAGTTGATAGCTGCCTTGTTTCTGAGAAGTTTAAAATCCATTATACTTAATGATATTTCATTAGTTCTGAATTAGTTATTTAACAGCTCACCTTTCTAGTTTGTCACTTTAAAGATGCTGCTTTGAAGACTGACGTTTGACCATGCATCTTTTTAAAATGGTTTGCCTGTTTTTGATCTTTTTAATCCGACTCATTTTGACAGACCTTCTTTAAACTATAATCCTCATGAAACAACAAACAACCGGGGGTGGCATGGTGGCTCAGTGGTTCGCACTGCTACCTCACAGCGCCAGGGTCCCAGGTTCGCTTCCACCCACGGGAAACTGTCTGTGTGGAGTTTGCACATTCTCCCCACGTCTGTGTGAGATTCCTCTGGTTTCCTCCCACAATCCAAAGTGCAGGCTAGGTGGATTGGCCATGCTAAATTGACCATAGTGTATGGGGATGTGTAGATTAGGAGGATGATCTGGGTGGGATGTTCCAAGGGTTGGCGTGGACTTGTTGGGCTGAAGGGCCTGTTTCCACACTGTAGGGATTCTATGATCTATAAATTGTAAACAGCTGATCCTTGCGGTACTCTGCTGGTTATGACCTGTTAATCTGAGAATGACCCATTTATTCCTACAGTCTGCTTTCTGCCTCTTCACTAAGCCTCAATCCATGCTAGTATATGACCTCCAGTCCTATGCATGATTCTTGTATCTGCCTTTGAGACTTGTATGCAAAGGCTGTTGGTATGGAAGCTGAGGACAATGGGAACCCTATTGTGGCTTTAGCCGGGGGGGGGTGAAAACAATATGCATGAAATGACATAGAAATACAACATACAATGAGGGCCCTGTAAACCATAATAGGGCTCCTTGGTTAAGTGAAAACAGACAGATTGGAATGACAGGTAAGGACAGTTGCATTTTCAAAACAGATGCAATGCAGAAACCGGATAAATGGAATACAAACTTCATAGGGAGTGGAGTGTGAAGAAACCTAATCGAGCTTGCTGTGGAACACAATGGATTTATGGTGAAGATTGATTTTAGCTTATCCTCAAAAATGGAGGTTGGACGTCCAGGAAAAGTTAGAGAGAGACTCTATGAATGGAACAGAAGGGTGGTAATCAAAGGTCAATGAAATTCCCCAGTTTGGAGCAACAGCAAGAAATAGTACCACGTAGTTATCAATGCACTAGAAGAAGAAAGAGGGGCGATGAAAGGACTGCAACAAAGAATGTTCCACATATCCAAAAAAAGGGCTAGGATCTACGCAGATACCCATAAAAAGGATGTGAGCGGAGTTCAAAGAAAAGTTGTTCACATCCAAATCATTTATATTAATGCCAAAAAGCAGTGGAACTAGCACCAAACCTTGCAGCACACCATTGGTCACAGGCCTCAAGTCCGAAAAACCACCCTCAAAAATCAGTTTCATATCTATTTAGCTAGCTCCCTCAGATTCCATGTGATCTAACCTTGTTTACCAGTCTACCACGCAGAACCTTGTCAAACGCCTTGCCGAAGTCCAAAAAGACAACAGCTACTGCTCTGTCTTCATCAATCTTCTTTGTCACTTCTTCAAAAAACTCTATCAAGCTATGAGACATGATTTCCCAGCACAAAGCCGTGTTGACTATCCCTAATCATTCCTTTCCTTTCCAAATGCATGTAAAAGTGGGTTGATACTAAATATTTTGCTAAGGACAAGGAGGAAAAAAAGAGAATAGTACATTTGTAACTTTTCTTAATCCTGATGAAAGGTCAGATCTGCAAAATTGACAGTTTCTCTTTTCACAGATGGCAGGTCAACCAAATGTTTCCAGCTTTTTCTGTTTTATTTCTTAGTAATTTCATGTCCGTAGAGCTAGAGGATGTAGATAGGGTTCTAAATTAATATTTGGTGTCAGTGATCATTTGTGAGGGACAATGTGGGTTTAGAAATCAAGGAGAAAGACTGTGATAAATGTAAATAAATTAACATAGACTGAGTAGCTCTGAGTAATCTGGCAGGCTTAAAAGTAGATAAATTTCCAGGGCTGGATGAAATGCATCCCAGGCTGTTAAGTGAGGGAAGGAAGGAAATGGGGGGGTTGCTGGCAATAATTTTCAATTCCTTTATGATCACAGGAGAGGTGCCCAGAAGACTGGAGGGCAGACAATGTGGTACTGTTATTTAAGAAAGGATCAAGCTATAAACCAGGAAACTGCAGGCCAGTCAGTTAAACCTTAGTGTAGGGGAAACTATTGGAAGCAATTCTGAGGGACAGCATTTAGTGAGGCATGGATTAATCAAGAACAGTCAACAGGATTTTGTTAAGAGTCATGTCTGGCTAACTTGATTGAATTTTCAAATAAGCAACCAGGTGTGTAGAGAAGGGCAATGCTTTTTGTGTAGTCTCCTCGGACTTCAGCAAAGCTTTAGAGAAGGTCCCACATGGGATCCTAATAGTGAGGGTAAGGGCTCATGGGATCAAGGAAATATAGCTAATTGGATTCAGAATTGGCTGAGTGGTAGGAAGTGGAGTGTGATGGTCAAGGGGTATTTTTGTGATTGTGTTCTGGAATCCACATTATTGCTGGGATGTCATTGGACTAAGTGTTTGCAGAGATTTACCAGAACATTGCCTGGGCTGGTGAGTTTTAGTCATGAGAAATTGGATGATCTGGGCTGTTTTCCTTGCCATAGAAGAAACAGAGGGTGGACATGATTGAAATATATAAAATTATGAGAGGCATAGAAAGGGTAGATAGGAAGAGACTTTTCTCCTTGGTAGAAGGATCAATGACTGGGGACATAGATTTAAGGAAAGGAGCAGATTTTCAGGAAAAATGTTTTCACCCAGAGGGTGGCAGAAATATGAAAGATTTGGAGGGATATGGGTCAAACACAGGGAGTGAGACTAGTTTAGTTTGGGGACATGATCAGCATTGACTAGTTGGACTGAAGGGTGTTTCCAAGTCACATGACTTGGTGGATCTGGAGCCCCCGGCCTGCAAGGGTGGTGGAGGCAGAAACCCTCATAACATTGAAATAGTATATAGGTGTATACTTGCAATGCCAAAGCATGCAAGGCCATAGACCAAGTGCTGGAAAATAGGTCTAGCATAGTTAGGCGGTTGATTTTGACTAGTACAGACTTGATTGGCTGAAGGTCCATTTTCTGTGCTGTAAACCTCCATGTTAGCCATAGAATGACCGATGTTTAAGAGAGGCTTATAAAAAGGCAAAAGCTACAAGATAATTTATGCCTTAATTGGTAACACATTTGTCCTTGGGGTCAGAGGATAGAGTTCAAGACATTCTCTAGAGACTTGAACACAATCCCTAAACAAAGAAGGCATAATGATCACTGAGTCCAACCCCCCCCCACCTACCTGGCCATACAAAAACAAAACGCAACCTTCACCAGTCCCAAGGAGGCATACATTCCCAGTATACTGATGACAGAGTAGATGTACTGTTGGAACTCATTTTTAAGACCTCTCTCATTTGCCCTCTCAGAATAAAATATTCCACCCCACTATTCAAAGCAGATTATTTTATCTCTATCACAAAGCTGTTTGTGGGAATTTGCGGTGCCCAACTTGATTAACTGCACAAAATGCTAGATATCATGTTGGATTCAGAAAGACACTATATAGTTGTTCTTCGCAATTCTCTCGGATATTAACGAAAACGCTTAAATTATGAAAATACGGGCTTCCGAAAAATGCAAATAAGATAAATTAGAGAACAGCTAAAAAGGTGCCGGGACACATAGGTTAATCTCTCCACCAGTTGCAAAGCAATCAACTGGCCAAATTATTTTGAAAGTCTTTAAGACGTAAGATGGGACGGAGATGGCGAGGTGCTCAGTTAAACCAAGGCCTACAGGGTGGAGTCAGGAAAGCTCCCTTGGGTGGGCGAACAAAACAGAAATCGGTGGTGCCGGCCCGAAATTCCATTATACAAATGAAGTCAACAATTCACATAACAGCGAGATTTAGGCAGCCATATGTACTCCCAATACAACGTAAGGGCAAAAACCTAATAAATGATGAGGCCCTAAAGCCTCAGCCAGCCACTAGCAGGAAACCTTGGCAGCAGGAACCGGAAGCAGCGCATTCACGCCATTCAAATCGTTCAAACGCCCGTCCTCTATACCGGCACTGCCAGCAGATAGACAGCACAACAACCAATTAGAAACGGATCAGGAAACAGGGGCCGGATATTGCCCAATCAGAGCACCGCATGTGGGCGGGACATCCGCCGATGCGTTGTGTCTGCTACCCTCCCTCCGCAAGGCGAGCAAAACACCGGTCCCGCGCAGTGATGGATAGAAACTTTAACCAATTGAAGGACAGATTGTGTAAAGTGTCCGGCATCTTGACCAATGACTCTGCAGGGGTAGGTGGGACTTCCTGCAGTGCGGCGAGTTTGCTTTCCTCCTCCCGGAGCGCTGCCGCCTGACGACCATCATCCTTTGCCGACACTATGGGCTTTTCTTCATATAAATAATCGGAGCCGCGACGGCGGCGGGCGGCGCTTTGGGGGTGGAAAGCGGCGGAGGAGGAGGCGTTGCGGGGACAGCTTGCGGCCCGAGATTGCGCGTTGGCGGCAGTGCTTGTGGTGCGGCTCCTGTCATGAGTCCGGCCGGGTGCTCCCATGTGAACAGTTTTAAGGCGGACAATTGGAAGCAGAGCCTGCGAGTAATTTACCAGTGCTTTGTGTGGAGTGGGACTGCGGAGAGCAGGAAAAGGAAGGTAAGGGCCGGGCTCGCCACGGATAGGGACTCTCCTGTTAAGGCAGCTTCGCAAGACGGGGGGGGGAAGCCTCTTTCGGTTGAGGTAGTGAAGAGTCACTGACACTGCCACAGTAATGGATTAGAGATACTGTACAAGGGAGGCTCTCACTGGGACCGTGAGGGGCACAGTTGTAAGGGGAGGGACAGACGTGGAGTCGTCGCATGAACAGTGATGGGCAAAGATGCAGGTGGAGTTCTCTGACACTAAAAAGGGTTGAATCATTTCAGAGGACTCAGTTATGAGGAGAAGCTAGGAAAAAAAATGAGAAAGATGATGAATGCGGCAGTGATGCCCAATGATATTTAAATTTAGATGGTTAATCCTTAGTACTATTTGAAATTGGTTCATGACAAGGTTAGAAACTGATAAAGGTCAGTTTGGGACAGATGCCAGAAAGTTTTCTTTTTGTGTGCAGGGTGATTGTTCCCTGCAATAGTCATAAAACTAGTGTCCTTCAAGCATGGCCCTTTATAAAAGGGTGTCTAGGTGGGGCTTGTGGCCTCCCTTATTTTGTTTTTCTTGAGACTGGCCATGCTGAATATGTCCAGTAAGATCAGGGGCATAAGTAATGGTTCTTATCATGATTGTGGTCAGACAGCTATTGTGCTGACTAATACCTAGTGCAATAATACAAATTTGAGTTTTATTGGACTTGAAATGTTAACTTTGCTTCTGTCTCCATAAATGCTGGCAGGCCTGCTGAGTTTTTTTTTCAGCATTTGTTTTTGTGAGACAAATTTGTGCAGGAGCCCTGTGGGTTGATTTGCCTTGTTCAGATATGACAAGGGAAAGTGGCATTAAGCTTTTCAGGAATACAAGTGCATCCTTTTAAAATGGCAAAAGTTGATATTTTTGGCATGTTCATGTCAGTAAGAAAAAGATGTCGTGCTCCCATGTTGAGGAAGTCTTTTTAGTATTGGCATTTTGTGCCTTTGATAGCTCTAATAAACTGCAGTGGAGATACTGTCCCTTATTGGGGCAAACTGGCAGTAGTAGGGTTGTAAAGAATGTTATTATCTACTGTGGGGGTGCTCTAGAGTACTAGTATTGTAGGAATCGCCTTAACAGTATAGGCTGCAGTATGATCTGGCCAGGTTGTACCAGTGTGAGATGTTCACAGGAGATGTTATCTAAAAACAGAATCTGCACTGTGATGAAGTAAGGGATGCCTGCACTATTGGACTTCTCTAATGTAAAGATACTGTTCATTTCTGGCAAGGAATATGAAGGAGAGATAACCTATATGCAGGATGATCTCTTTACGAGATGGAGTTTGGTGCCACACCACAAAGGTATACGAGCAAGGTTATTTTCTTGCTTGTTTACACTCTGTAACTTAAGATTTACATGCATTTTGGAGAGGCATGGACTGATTATGGATAGTTGGCATGGTTTAGAGCAAGGAAAATGATGTCTTTCAAACTTGATTTTTGACCTTTTTTGAGGATGTAATCAAAAGGATTGAGGGCAGAGTGATAGATGTTGTTTACATAGACTTTAGTAAAGCCTTTGACAAGGTTCCACATGGTAGATTAGTGAAGTTAGATCACATGGGATTCACGGTGAGCTTGCCAATATGAAATTAGCTTGGTGGAAGGAGACAGGGTAGTCATAGAAGGCTGTTTCTCAGACTGGAGGCCTGTTATTAACGGTGTTCCAGAGGGATTGGTGCCGGGTCCACTTTTGTTATTTATATAAATGATTTGGATAAGCTTTTAGGCTTTACCAGTAAGTTTGCAGATCATCAAAATTGGTGGTGTAGTGGACAATGAAGAAGGTTGTCTAAGATTACAAAGAGATCTTTATCAATTGGGTCAATGGGCTGATGATTGGCAGATTGGGTTTAATTTGGATAAATGTGAGGTATTACATCTTGGTAAAACAAGCAAGTGCAGGAGTTGTACTAATAATGGTAGGGCCATGGGGAGTGTTTGTAGAACAGAGACATAGGGGTTCAGGTATGTAACTCTTTGAAATTTGTGTCACGGGTAGACAGGGAGGTAATGAAGGTGTTTAGCATGCTTGTCTTCATTGTTCAGACCATTGAGTATAGGAGTTGGGATGTCCTGTTGAGGTTGTACTGGATATTGGTGAGGTCTGTTCTGAAGTGCTGTATGCAGTTCTAGTCACCATACTATCGGAAGGATGTTATTAAATTGGAGGGGATTCAGAAAAGATTTACCAGGATGTTGCTGGGACTGGAAGGCTTGAGTTCTAAGGAGAGGCTGGATAGACTGGGACTTCATTTATTGGAGAGGAGGAGTTTGAGGGGTGACCTTGACGGTTTATAAAATCATGAGGCATAGATAAGTTGAATAGCAAGGGTCTTTGACTAGGGTGAGGGAGTTCAAAACAAGAGGACATACTTTTAAGGTGAGGAGAAAAGATTTTAAAAAGGACATAAGGGTCAACTTTTATGTACAGCGAGTGGCTCGTGTGGAATGAACTGCCAGAGGAAGTGATGAATGCAGGTACAGTTACAACATTTTCAAAGACATTTGGATAAGTACATGAACATGAAAGGTTTGGAGAGATATTGGCCAAATGCAGGCAAGTGCAACTAGTTTTTTTAGGGAAAAATAGTTGGCGTTGACTAGTTGGACTGGAGATGACTTTGTCTCTATGCCATAGTTTCAGGATGGGCACGCATCTGAATTGAATTTGTTGACTTTGTGGTACCAAATATACTTCTCGTTGTGCAAATCTGCCCTGACGCATTCCAAGAATGCACTGAGGGAAAACTGTTTAAACTATTTATTTATAATTTTATACTTGTATGTAACTCCTGATTTCTAGTATTATTGAGTTTTATCCATGTGTAAATTAATAGCAGTGTGATTGTTGGTTTTGTCTTTGCTTCACACTTTGGCACACCTAGTTTGAATTAGTTTACCTCATGGGTTTATTATATTTTTTTATCCAAGTGTCGTGAGTAAATATCCGTTCCATCTTGGTGTATAGAGTGCTCCACCTTATTCTGTTTTTCTTTCTGTCTTGCACCTTGCACAACATTTCTTCAGAACTTGCCATGTTGCAAGCACTTTTTGTACTTAGTCAAAACCTCTTTCTCATTTGAGTATGGATCTGTTAAAAGAATGCTTTGCTTTGTTTTCCATAACAAAGTGTAGAGCTGGATGAACACAGCAGGCCAAGCAGCATCAGAGGAGCTGATCATCCAGCTCTACACCTTGTTATCTGAGATTCTCCAGGATCGGCAGTTCCTACTATCTTTGTTTTCCATGTTCTCTTTAAAGATTCTGTAGAATCTTGGTAACTTGTATGATATACATGTCCAATTTATTTCAACATCTCTTCTCAGGCAAGTCCTAATGCATCCTGGACTCTTATTTTTCTTGGTTTTTCTATCCATTTGAGGAAGAAGTGCTTCTTGTTTTATACAGTAACGTATGAGCATGTCTGACGAACATCTATAACTCCTTCCAGTAGACTCTTCTGAGGCAGCAAGTTGGCTGGTGCTTTGAGACAATAAAACATTGGTCTATGTGAGCAGTGTGGTGTTTACTTCCGTAGTATTTTTGACCCTAATTGTATTCAAGCTGATGTTTGTTTGAGTTTTAGCAATTCTGTCATTACATTATTGACCTCTTTTTAAACGGAGACTTCTTGTGGAACATAATTGCTACTATTTCATCACTGACAAAATTTTGTGCACTGTCTTTTCCATTTTCATTCTGGGAAAACTGTGTGACACAGTGCCTCTCTTATATTTAAGGCAGTGTTGCTAAATCAGGAACTTTGGAGCTGTGAAATATATGGCACTTTTAGAATTTCTTAGAAGTAAAATCCAGTGCCGCCTTTGTACACTGTTTATTCATTCATCTGGTGTTGGCACACTGGAACAATTGATTGTACCCAATAAACTATACCTCCACCATTTTTTATTAGTATGTCCTTTCACCAGGAAATTGAATTTTGAACCAAAAGCTGCTATGTCTTGCAAATTGCTGAAGGTTTGCTTAAATTGATCTTTGCCCGCAGCTTAGTTTGCTGTGTTCATGTTGGGTTGACTGGCGTGGTGAATGGAAACATTGATTCGTGCAGTGATGGTTGATTTCTCGTGGGGATCCCAGTGTCACGGGGCATTTCATACATTTTGTCAAGTGGTATTGTTCATCAGTTAAATCAAATGCTGTCTAGATTGAAGTTTGTGTTGGGGGCATTTATAACTGAGCCGGATCTTCCCTTACCATATTTGGCTGTTTCGGGCATGGGTAGCAAACGTATTGGTACAAACAAACCAGAGTATAGGAATATAGTTAAATTAGAGATTCAACTCTGTGGCTATGGCATGATGAATTTTACTGAGACAAGGCTACTTGACTTGAATGTCATAGTATCAGAGTTACAGCATGGTAACAGGCCCTTCGGATCAGCGTGTTTGTGCTGGTTGCTAAACATCCATCTAAGCTAATCCTACTTTTCAGCATTTGGCATGTAGCCTTGTAGATACTGACTTTGTATTCCACCTGTTCAAAGATGTTATTGCCCCTCTGGAACAAGTGCTACTTGAACCCAGGCTTCCAGGCCTGGAGGTGGGGACCCAGTCACTATATTACAAGTGTCCTCCTGTAGCCTTGTATGCTATGGTGTTTCAAATGTTCATCTAGATGCTACTTAAGTGTCTTGAGAGTCCTGCCTCTGCCACCTTTTGACAGGCAGTGAGTTCCAGGGGGGTATTCAGTCTTCTGTGAAGAAATTTTTTCTTGAGACCCATCTAAACCCCTTGCTCTTTGATTTGAAGTTGTGCCCTGCTTATTGACGCCCACACTAAGGGGGAAAGTTTCCCATAATCTACACCCTTCAGAACTTTGAACACCTCAGTCAGAGCACACACCCAAACCCCCAGCCTTCTAAGAAAAGCTACCTGAGCCTAGCTAATTTCTCTTCATAGCTGAATTGCCCCAGTCCAGACAACATCTTGGGCAATCTCCTCTGCA